CACTTAAACTTTTAATAACCAATCAACCTATGAAAAATACTGAAATATCCCAGCAACTAGGGTTTAATTTTTTTCAACCAAATGATAATTTAACTATATATGCATAACGACAACATTAGCCCTATCCCATGCCTTTAGAACCTTGAAAATCAACTATGCAAAGCTTCTGTAGACTATGTCGTAGTCCATAATACACTTGCACAGGGTTGTCAGACCCAAACATCTTGGATCTGCCAACCATGTCACATCCAAGCACCTTGGGTCGAGCAACCATGCCAGACCTATAGTACTGAGTTTGATAGGTTTACCAGTTCTAAATAAACGTGGGTTTGGCATAATGTTTTGAATTTAAATTTTTTAAACAAAAATATGAAAATACCCCCCTAGGATTATAGAAAATTACACAAAAAAAGTGTGAAAAAACAAAAATACTTGTATATGCAAAGCTTATTTTTTGTCCTTTCAAAGGTTAAATATGTATTTTTAACTATTTAATAGTTTGTGAAAGGTCAAGATCTTTGGACAACAAGTTTTAATTTTGTTAACCTTGGAGGTAGAATAGTATATTTTTAGGGCAAATAAGTATTTTTACTCTTATGAATATTATGAAAAGTTAACAAAACCTTTTGTCAACAATTCTAAATTTTGTTGACTCTTAGGGTAAAATAATAGTTTTATTGTACTAAAAAATTGAATAAAACAAATACACCCCCTAACAATGTTTTGATGACAACTAAACTAGATGAAAAGGCTTAAACACTCCTAAATTAAATGCTTGAATTTAAGACGCTAAAGGGTAAAAGAAGAATTGTATTGTTGCAATATACATTTATTTGTGTCTATAGCTATAATGAAATTCCCATGCTATTTAGGTTTATTTTTAATGTCCTTATTTGGACTAGTATTTGTGTAGTTTGCATATGAAATGTAATAGATTCCTTTGATATCATCTTTATAGCTTCAACTTTCTATTATGTCATAGTCTATATAACTAATGAAACATGAAAAAAGTGCCTAAAACAAATAGTATTGGCTTTCCAGTGATGAGATTATGGAACCTAATTGATCCTAAGTATGAACTAAAAGAGATAGACAAAAAGCAGTGGCCACCATTGCAAAGACGACAAGCTCAATAACTTCCATGACATTCAATTAAACATCTTAAACTAGCCGGATTCTTGGCAAACCTGATCCTATCAAATTTCAAACAAGTTGAGCTAGAGTCCTATCCGTTGTGGGCTGGCTTGTTTTTTTTTGAAAACATAAAAAAAATAAAATGATTAAGCATTGTAAGTGTATTTAAAAATATAAAAATAAATTAACAGCTAGACATCATAAATAGAGAATGAAAAAAATATCAATTATCAATCTCTAGAAACCCAAACAATGAAAAATAAAATCAAGAAAAAAAACAAAGAATGAAAAAAATAAAAAAAATATCAACAAAGCCGAGTGATAAAATTAAATAAAAAAGTAAAAGTAGCTTAAACAAGTTTTGTTCATATTTAAATGGTTAAATGACCCCTGCTGCAATAACATATGTAACATTTTACCATCCTCATTCACTGTGCTATGCCTTCTTGTAACCTAAAAATGTATAGAAATTATTATTATTTCAAGTTTAATAAATTTCAAGGCTATTAAAGATTTATATAATTATTAATTTTAAAATCCATAAGATCTGTTAAACTATATACAATCTAATTCTGACACCATATTAAATAAAAAAAATTAAAATTATAGAAATCCAATATGTCTTGCTTCGACAAAGGCATGATACTTTTAAGGATATGATTCGGGGACGATCATAAGCATAATAACAACAATTTAGACCTTGTTATATAGAAATTTTTGTTGCACTCGAATCACTTGCCAGTACCTCTTCACATTGTAGTATGATTAGATATTTCTATTTACTGAGAAATTTTTGGACAATTGAGATAATGCATGAAAACATGAAAGAAAATGACTCACCTGATCGAATAGGAAGAGGCTAAACCCCAACCAAACTTGCCATTCAACAACTCAGATACGTTATTGTAAGTGTTATTGCCCAAAAGCCTTAGCTTCAAAACTGATATGAAAGGTATCTCAAAACTTGTGTTCACAAGAAAAATGTCTATATAATCTGAAGAAATGATATGGATGATTTCTACTGTGAAGGGCGTGGATTCATCATCCAGCCTCACTATTTCCCACCAGTCGACTCAAGGAACAAATCAAATTTTAGGACATCGTCAAGTTCAACATAGTTACCATGCAAAAATCCTATTTGGATCAGATACTTGTTCTTGCTGTTCGCGGGCTTCAAGGTGTAACAAATTGTGGTTCCATTAGAAAAGCTTCTGAGTCTTACTAGACAACTTACATGTTGCAAGGTGGCCTGATTTAAATAAGAAAAACAATGATTGAGCATTGTAAGTGCTTTTTTTTTAAAAAAAATAACAGCTCCATATCATAAAGAACAGTAAAAATATCAAATGTCAATTCCAAGATATCCAAATCTTATAAATCTAAATGATGAAAGATAAAATCAGAAAAAAAATAAAAAAAAAAGGTAAAGAAAATACATGGAGGAAGCCCGTGTTCCTCTAAAAAAGTCAAAAAAATCTCATTAAAAGTGAGGAAAAAATAGAAGATGATAAAAAAAAACCCTGAGTCAACCCAACTTAACCTTAACAACTTGCAATACAAGGTATGTGATAGAGATAGATTAATAAAAAAATAAATCAGAATAATTCACAAAGCTTAAGACCCAATAAATCAAATGTCAAATGTTGAAAATAAATTTTTTTTTTAAAAAGGTTTAAAAAAGAATAAACTTAATCCGAACTAATCATCAAAACTGGTGGATTAGGTGAGAATTATAAAAGACAAACACAAAAAAATAACTTTTAAAATTCTTAACAATCAAAGAATTGAATAAAAAAATAAAAAAAATATAATGAGGATTAAATCATGCACGCAAAAATAATTGAAAGAAAATAATTAGAGATTAAATAAAAAAACACAATAAATGAAAAAACGAAAAACAAAGAGCAATAAACATATAGTGACCAAAATTAGAAAAAAAATAATATTAAATTAAATTTTAAATGAAAAAATAAAAAAAATGCAAAGGGTAAATAATAATTAAAAAAATAAAAACCAAATTAGATAAAAAAAAATTATATGATATAAAATGCAAATGGATGAAATTGAACAAAAGAAATTCAAGAAGCTTTAAAATTAAAATAAATAAAAATTAAAGGAATGATAATCAACTTTAAAACAAATATAAGTTAGAGGACACATTTGAGTTTTTAAAAGCTCTACACATATATAAAAGAGAAAAACAAAAAGAAAGAAACAAGAAAAAAAGAGAGGAAAAACTCCCATCACCTTTAAACCACCACCAACCAAGCAAAATGCACAACACCAATAGCTACACCGCCATCTAACACATTGAATAACATGATTATTGTTAAATCTCGACCATCATGATATATTCCATGCATCTCTTTTTTTTTTTAGATTAACATGGATTTTCGGGCCAGCTTACGCGCACCACGACTAATCCCACGGGCCCTGAAGTTAACGATCATATAAGCCTCCAGTGGCCATCATATGAGCAACCAAGAACTCAAACCTGAGACCACAGAGGGAGCAAACCCCTTAATCCCAAGTCCTTACCACTTGACCACCACCTAAATAGTTATTCCATGCATCTCTTATTTGGTTTGGAGGATGACGACATGTTAATGCGTGTATAGAATGTTTCATTCTTTTTATATTGACTTACATTCTTTCTATTCTTGTAAGTTATTAATAAATCTTAAAATATAATAACCCAAAAATAAAAATAAAATTGAAAATTTTTTCTCTTAAAACATGATGGTCTTATCTTTCTTCTTTTTTTTATTTAGAGTTTTAGATTTTCTTTTTAAGAAATTTATATAAATACAGAAGTAACTATCAATAATTACTTTATAAATTCATTTTAAAAAGAGAGGCACAAACAAATATGTAAGACAAAATTACATTTGGTCCATCGAAACCGATAGCATTTGAGATCATGCATGAAAGACACCTTTTTTCAATAGAAATGAGATTTTTTTTTTCTCTTTATTGTTTTGTTAAGTTAACAATTCGGATGCATTTACATGAGAATTCTTAACCCTTAGATGGGTTTTTAGCCGTCAGGAGTGAAATGTTTGGAATGGAAATGGAGGAATTGAAATGAAAATCAAGAAATTAGAATGATATTTTAATTATAATATTGTACTTGAATAATAATAAATAACTAAAATGAAATTTTAAAATTTTTATGAGTTATTTTGAAGATAAAAATGAATACTAATTAAAATAATGATTTCTTTAATTATAATATTAATGAAAAATAATAGAAGTAATTTATGTGATTATGATATAAATAGCGGTAATGATAATAAAATAATAATAATAATAAGTTTTTATTTAAAAAAATAATGTAAGCAATACATTAATAGCTAAATAATAATTTTTAAGTAATTTAGTCTAAATAATATATCATTAATAAAAAAAATTATTATCATTTTGTTTCTCACCTGTAAAATTATATTTAATTTTTATTATGTAGCTCATGTTATTCTATTTTTATAACTAAATAATTATAAATTAAAATTATTATTCATAGTACTACCATGTCCTTTCTTGTTATATAACAACACTTCATAATATAAATTAAAATATACTAAATAAAATTAATGAATATTTACTAATATGAGAGATTAATTGCACTACCAAATTACATTAATATTTTTAAAAGTTAATTTTTTATATTAAATTAATTTATTTTAGTATTTTTGAATTGTTTTGATATATTAGTATTAAAAATAAATTTCTTAAAAAATATTTTTTAATATATTTTTAAATAAAAGTTATTTTAAAAATTAAAAAATAACCGTAATACCTAACTAAACCTTGAAACGTATAAGAAATCTACGCTGGCCCTTCCAATTTCGAAACACCTATCCTGTATTTCTGCAACAGAGGAAGAGTCTTCACCCTCTTCGAGGACGACAACTCTTCTCTCGTCTCTTGTCTTTCTACCGTCGACAACGACAAAAAATATGCTCACTGTAACCTCAACAAAACCCCATAATCACTTTCCCTCCCTTGCCGTCCCTCTCCCTCTCAAGAAAACCTCCCCTCTCCGCATTCGCTCTCTCGACGCCACCCAGCCATACGACTATGAGTCTCAGCTCCGCACCCAACACCTCAAGTCCCAATCCATCAAGATCGCCATTCTGGGCTTCGGCAACTTTGGCCGGTTCCTCTCCAAAACTCTCTCTTGCCAAGGCCACACTTTCCTAGCTTACTCTCGCACAAGCTACACCGATGCCGCCAAAAGCTTAGGCGTCACTTTCTTCAACGACCCACATGACCTCTGCGAGAGCCACCCTGAAGTTGTAATCTTATGCACTTCGATTCTTTCGACCGAGAAGGTACTTCCGTCTTTCCCATTTCAGAGACTCAAACGTAGTACCCTTATAGTTGATGTTTTGTCTGTTAAAGAGTTTGCTAAGAATATCTTGCTGAGATATTTGCCTGTCGAATTTTATATTCTGTGTACACACCCCATGTTTGGACCTGAAAGTGGGAAGAATTCTTGTTCTGATTTGCCTTTTGTTTATGATAAGGTTAGGATTGGTAACGAGGAGGATAGGATTGATAGAGTTGAGAGGTTTCTTGATGTTTTTGCGAAAGAAGGGTGTAGGATGGTTGAAATGAGCTGTGCAGAGCATGATAGGTAAGCGGTCGGATCGCAGTTTGTCACCCATACTGTGGGGAGATTATTGAGGAGGTTTGGGTTGGAGACTTCGCCGATTAATACCAAAGGATACGAGACTTTGTTGGATTTGGTGGAGAATACGGCCGGGGATAGTTTTGAGCTGTATTATTGGTTGTTCATGTATAATAAGAATGCTATGGAGCAGTTTATTAGATTGGTTAAGAATTTATGAGATAAACTTATATCCATCATGTCGTCCCATACAAGAGTGTTTGATAACGTGGTTGAAAATATTAAAAAAAAAATTATCTTAAAATCACTAAATTGATGATGACATTCTTAAAAGCACTTTAAAAGTATCAGGACAATAATACCAAACGGTGCCTAAATAGATTTTAGCAGCAATACCTTCAATCATATTAACATGGAGCCAAATGATGGAAAATAACGAGGGAGTAGTTTTAGGAAACTTCTCCAGATCGATAATGTACATAAATTATCAATAATATACACGACATTATCAGGCAAGGTGTATAAAGATGATGTGATAAAAACCACAAGGCATCATGCTGATGGCACAGATCTAAACTTTTGCCACATGAATTGCCCTCTTTCCTTGCTGGTAGTGTTCCCAGTGCACATCAGCATAGTCTTTCACTTTCTTGTATATTTTTTTTCGTTCCTCGTTGATCAAACCTTCTTCTGGTCCAATCTCTTTATTTGGTTCAGGTGCGTAGAAGACGGCCACAGAAACCCTCTCCTTCTCTGAGTTGGTCAAAACTCTATGAACTGGGCTCTTGAACACCCCATTGGTCATTATCTGCATTAACTTAGGTAATCAGTCATGAGATGTTTTGTATTACCAAAATTGCTTGTTAAACTGTTCGAGACACCAGTTATGTAATACATTTTTTCCTTAAAATTTATCTAGCCAATTGAATTATGTCACTGCACTGGTCATGTTTTTGCCAGATCCAGCATGTTTAGGCACAGAGCATTCGGCAAGCACCATGTGTTCCTGAATCATAGAAACACCCCTTTCCAACTGGTTGTGACAGAATGATGGCTACCATAAAAGCTGCTTAAATTGGTCAAGAAAGAAGAGTGAAACAAAAGCTCTGGCTGACAGCATTTTCGAAACATAAATTCTCCTGGGGGTTTGCCTGAAGTATCAATGTGTCCCTATCCTGTTAAGATCACATAAAAGATTACCATTAACCATACCTCCATTTGATCACCCATGAGTACTAGGAGAGCATCAGAAATTGCAGGAACTGTGAACCATCGCTCATCTTTGAAGACCTGAAGACCTTCTACATCGTCTTGCAAGATAATGGTGTACCCTGATCCATCTGCATGGGCTTTCAAACCTAGAACAAGATCAGGCCTCTGACACCGTGAGTAGTAGTTGAACCTTGCTTGTAGCGCTGCTCGTTTGCCAAACTGATTCAGGAAGCAATCTGCTTCCAAGTTCAATGACTTTGCCATAGCTTTTGAAACAAGCTCTGTGAATATTTGCATCCTAGAAGTGTATTCTTCTAAATCCTCTCTGCATAATTATGAATATGTTGGGTGCATGTTAGAAGTCACAAAAATTCTGATCTGAATGCAAAATCTTTGAAATTCTGTGGAACAAGTCATTGTGAATCCTCTATTTCTGCTTGTTGGTTCCCTATAATCAAGATCTTTGACCAGTTCTTCCCAAGAAAACTATCAGATTCTTTCCCAATCACTGTTGCTATTTATGATGAAGAAGATGATATAAAACATATGCTTAGGACATCTAACTTTTTAAATGTTCTGTCATGTGGATTGTTTTGTGCATTAATTGATGTTAAATCACAGTTTAGAATTGAGAATACACACGCATAAATCTTGCTGGAGTTTATTGAGGATACAGGTTTTCTGATGATATATCTGAACTGCCCAAAGCTATTTTTGATATGTTCTAGCAGTCGATGTATACAAAGAGCATGCTGCAGACCTGAATGATTTTGGATTCTCCGGCCAAAACTCATGCTTCCTTCGATCTTCTGGGTATACGTTAAGAAACAAGCGATCAGACCAGTCAAGCGACTGTCCTTCTGCTGGGACAGGATCAGCTCCATATCCTTCAAACTCTTCCACTCCTTTAGCATGCCTTTTCTTCTCCTCCATTGGCTGCTCGAAGAAATCCCTCGCTACTTGGCGAATCTTATCAAGAAATGATTTTGGAATACCGTGACCTGTTGCCTTCAATGCACAAGTGGTTTTAACAACGTAGCCGGGAGCACGCACAAAAGCGAAGTCAACTAAACAAAAAGCAAAAGAGGTAGCTTTTTCCTCAGGTTCTGGGTATATAGTTAGGGCATATAGATAATGATTCTGGATCTATTGTTGAATATTCATGCTTCTAATGCAAGTTGCCTACACATCTCTTGATCTTTTTGCTAAGATCATGCTTGACACTGGCTTTAGACTTCTAATGGGTGGTATGTTCCGTATTATGGGCTATCATTTCAAGTCTCAGTCTCCGTGAAGGGTAAAAATTTCATACCTGAAAGCAGCCCCATGAACAAAGAGCTGATCTAAGCCGCTGCAGTTCTTGTGCAGAGCATGGCTCTGAAGAAGAGAGGAGGCTGAGGTCTATGATCGGAATCAGATCAGATGGGGGACTGGGAATTGCTTCATTAGTGCAATCATCTCTACTGATGTAGGGCTTTTGTGGTTCTTCACCGTTAAGGACCATTTCCTGAACACGCTTTGATAGCAAAATCTCTGCAGGGAGAGCTGAAACTCCAGCCATTTTTGTTAGGAAGTTCTGATGTGATTGCAAATCTGGTCTTTTTGTGATTCTTGCTAATGCTTGTGAGGTGGTGTTGTTGGTATCTATCAGGAACAATCGTGTAGAGAAGAGGGCTCAATTTAGAGGAGCTATGGGACAATCTTTATATGAATGGTGAGGTGTGCTGGTGCTGGAGCTGGAGCTCAATGAACCGACTCCTGAGCTTAGTTTTGGAAGATTGGCTTGGCTGATTTGTCGTTGAGCTTGAGGTAGTTACTAGATTTGTGCCCTGTGATCCCCCGGGGGGGTGGGGGTGGGGGGGTTCGGGGTTCTCATGAAAAATGCTAAGGAAACAAATAATAATATGAGAATCCAATTATTACATTAATTGGTAATTTAAATAATATAATTTAAAAAACATATTAATAAAAAAAATTAATAAAAAAGAATATATTTTAATTCTATTGAATTATAAAATAACTCAATATTAAAAAAAAAATCTTTAGTTAAAAAATCCCTAATTAAACTAGATTTACTTATAAACTTTATAATTTTATTTATAAACTTCATGATCACATAAAATGGAGATGGTATTATAAAAAAATATTAAAAATTAATTTTTAATAAATCAAATAAAAATATGATAATCTCAAAAACAATACTTTACTGAACCGGCCAAACTTAATTGTTCCCTTTACCAAATAAATTATAACTAAAAAAATAGAATGAAAACATAAAAATATACTTGCATGCTAAGTTATCTTTTTTTCTTTCTTTTAAAAGTAATTTCTTCAATTTGCTGCTCATAAAAATTAAAAAGGTAATTTCTCCTATATATATATATATATATAAGGATAAAAATATTATTTCTTAGTGCTTAGAAAATGTGTTCAACTCAATTTACCTACAATCAAATTTGATAATGTTTACATAATATCTTGATAAAATAACTATAATATTATAGAAGAAAACTTTGTCAAATCCATTATGTTTTGTATCTTGATTTGTAATGAATTACTATCTTTTTAGGTTTTTGTTAATACTTTTTTTATTGAGTTTTTAAACTAATTCAAAAATGCTAAAGGTATAAAAACTGTTTACAAAATTCCTATTATTAAATGATGGTAATTGTGATAGGGAAAGTTATTAAATGATATAGTATGAAATTTATTGCATTCATAATTATTAGAATGAAATATATAATAAAAAACAGCACATCATTTAGTTAAAAGTTTTTCTTTTGAAAAATACAATAAAAATATATGCATAGGCCATTAGATCAGTGAGATTTATAGTTGGATCCTACTTTTATTTTATTTTATTTTTTTTAAAAAAACTTGATGTTTAGCATTACTCAAATTTGGAAATGCCTTTTTCAAATAATATAATATTTAAACCCAATTTTTGAATAATATAGTATTTTATAAAACAAATGTTTTTCACTAAAAGTTTTTAGTAATGGAAAAAGAATTAAAAAATAAAATAAAAATTTGAACATCCCGTTTATGAAAGAAACTCACCTGATGAACACTTCATATTATTTCTGCCTCTTTTTTTTTTTTTTTCATGCTGAGAAGGATTCTTTTCTTATATTTGGATAAAAAAGATGTAATTTTTTTTTATAAATTCTGCAATTTCCAGGTTTTCAAGTGTGTGTTAGATAACACAGTGGACAAAGTTTTTCAAAAATATTTTTTAATTAAAATAATATTTTTTATTGTTTTTTAAATTGAAAATCATTAAAAAATAATATAAATAAATATTAATTTGTTGTTTTAAAAAATTATTTTAAAAAATATGTCAAGAAAATAAAATAAAAAAACCTTTCTCGTTATGCAAAGTTAAAATAAATAAATAAAACTTTGCACTATTTTTAAAGCTATATGGCTTTTCGGCTCATTTATGATTGTGGGAGAGCTAAATTAGGCTTTTCAGGACAACATTCACTAGGAGCAGGGGATCGCAGATATTTTGGTGGTGTAGCCAACGAGGATATTGGGACCAAACCATTCAGGAGACCTAGGACGGGTTTGTCGATAGTGAAATGCATCACCGCGACCCGTAACTTTACAAAACTTGTCTTTTATTATTTTTAAGGTTATTCTAGTGGTGGAGAGATTTTTATCTCATTGGAAATTTTTAGAATATACTTGTCTAATTCTTCAAAGTATTAATTCGTGTTAATTTAAAAATAAAAATAATGACAATTAAAATTTTAAAATTTAATAATAAATTAATTATGGCAATTATGAATTAGTTGATTATTCACTAAGATTAATAAAAATAATTAATATTATAATTTTAAAGTTTAATTCAGTAATTAATTAAAGGTAAATTCTAGATAATGAGTCAGGTTGACCATTAACCTGACTTGATATAAAAATGAAAATAAATCCAACTCAAGAGTCAATCCAGAACTAGATTTGAGTCACAAGTTGGGTTGATCATTGATCCAGGTTAATATAATGATAAAAATAATCATTATAATTATTGTAAAACTTAACTATGGTCTCAACCCAAGGTAAAACCCAGGTCACGGGTCAGGATAGTCAACCTAAGGCAAGAATTAGTTACAAGATGGGATGGTTAACTCATGTTGACCTGATGCAATATAAGAATAAAAATAACTAGTATTATAGCTTTAAAATTTGACTCGGGAGTTAACTAGAGTCAAGGTCTGAGTCATAGATTGATTATTAAAATTGATTATTATAAAATTGGGAGAGTCATGTAAGAATAAAATTGATTATTATCATAATTTTAAAATTTAGGGTATTGACCCGGGGCAAGGCCCAAGTCACGGGTTGAGAGTCAGTTTTAAAATTTAGGGTATTGACCCGAGGCAAGGCCCAAGTCACGGGTTGAGAGTCAACCCATATTGACTCAAATAAAAAAATAAAGTAACCTTATTTTGACCGAAAAAATTCAAAAAATTAGTGGATTTTTACTAGCACTTTATCACGAGTCATGGATCGACGCAAGTTTTTAATTAAGTTAGGTTGGATCAATTATTTCTTTGTATTTTTCTCAAACTTGAATCAATTTAGGCCTAAAATTGACTAGATCTAGTATATTGACTGTGAAAAATAAAATGAAATAAATTATCTAGTCGAGTCTAAAATATATTAAATATAAAGCAAGATAGTTATTTGTTATTTTCATTTAATTTTACCCAAAAAAATACCTATTCTCTCTTTTTGTCATACATTAGACTATTTATTACTTTTCAAGAATATTATTGTTCCTTCTATGTCATCTCGTACGTCACCAAATTATCAAAGTAGTCTTTTTTTCTATCATACAATCCTAATAAATAACATTATAAAAAATTGTGAAAGTTTTTATCTTAAAAAAAACATAAATGTCAAAATTGCTAAATAAATAATGTTACATGATATATAAATAATTAATTTTCTATAATGATAACAAAATTTTATAATTCGTGTCATATTTAGTAAAGCTAATAATAATAATATATCCTAAATACATGGGAAATAAATAAAAATGAAACATAATTTAACATAATCCTAAAAATTTAGAGAATAGGTCATTATATAGCATTGTATTTGTATATGGTTTTCCAATTATAAGACTTTCTTGAAAAGATTTTTCAATTATAAGATTTTCTTGAAAAGAATTTAAATATTTAATGTCATGAAATTTAAAATCCAAAAAAAAAAATCAAAGAATGAGGCTAAATTAGTCACTTTAAAAAAGTTGGAGTGGTATCTATGTATTATTATTACTAACAGAATAAGAAATTTACTCTTTTCATCTTGTAATTTAGTTTTTTTTTTACTATGCTTCTATTTTTCTTAAAACTACACTTTAGGTTAATTCAAATTTTTAAATTGAACAAAAATAATGAAAGTACCATCATATCTATTATTTCTAAAATTAAATTAAATGATTATTTTTTTCACTTTGTCTCTCTTTTATATACCAATTTCCCTTCTTTTCTAACTTTAATCAAACATTAATTAATCTAAACTCAAATCAAGTTGTCAATCTAATGTTTTTAATGGATTTCTCTTATTTTTCTTGTCTTAAACAACCAAATACCTATATTTTTTTAAAATAAATGTTAAATACATTTATAATATTTATGAGCTTCTCATAAAATGAAATTTTTTATGATGGAATGTCATAGCCTTCCTCGTGTCTCCCTTTGGTGGTGGATCTCAGCTGGCTATTGGTGTTGGATGTGGTTGTTAATGTACTATTATTGGTCTATGATGTACGATGATAATTGAAGAGATAAATTATGCCAAATATAGTTACTTCTCACCCAATGGTTAAGATACTAAACCAAGCAGACTAATTTTCACTTTCACCACCTTGTTAACAACAATTTTACCATATCGATATAAATAAAGACGATGACAATGGTAAACAACTCAAACAAGATAAACCTAGCAAAGGTTTTTCCATTGGCCACTTACTTGAATAAACACCCTTTTTTTTCTTTTTTTTTCTTTTTTTGAAGAAGAAATAATGAATCGATTATAAAACTATTATTGTTGTTGTCGTTATGCTTCTAGTACTGTTAGTGTTTCTCATTACAGTCATAGTTCCTCATAGTTCCTTATTCATCTTCATTTACTGATGATGCTAATAATGAAATTTATTCACTATAAAAATAGATCCATCGATACCACCAATGAACCCTTTTGTAATCTTAATCTAGACACCATTGCCTAAATGACCTTTTTACACCTTTTTCTTTTTTATTTCTTATAATTTTTAAAAATTCTTTTTTAATTCCAACAAAACTTGGAAATCTTGTCAAAAAGGTATGTTATAAGTTAATTTTTTTTGTTTGATTTTGCTTTGTTGCCTTTGAAGGAGTGCATACATATATCATATTAGTTAAAATGCTTCAGGGTCACTAGAAGATCTAGATGGACTCGTATAGAAAATTTTAGGGTAAGAGACTCGTCGGGACAAGAAAATATATTAATACCCCTAACGTATTTTACCAGAGATAAGTTGTATTTTATAGTCTAAATGTTACTTAAAGGTATTGATGGGTTGCTAACCAATGATTCATCCATGGCTTAAGAGTGTTTGTTTTTTAGACAACTTTTATGATTAGTTTGAAAAAAAAATTTAAAAAGTGTAGTTAGCTATGTTAGTTTAATTTAGATACATGTTTGGTAAAAATTATGTTTAAAATTTATGTGTACCAAAAAACATGTATAAAATATTTGATAGTTGTGTTTGAGTGTGATTGTGGTTGCTTTTCAAAGTGATTTTTACTTAGAAATGGATTAAAATAGTTTTTTTTTTATTTTTTTAAAAAATTATTTTTGATATCAGTGTATCAAAATGATCTAAAAACATAAAAAGAAAAAAAAAATAAAGCAAAGAAAAAAATAAAAAAATATTTAAAAAAAAACACTTTTGAAACGCAAAAATAAACAGAGTTTTATGAAAATCGGTTAAAAAAAACACGTAAAAACTGCTGCATAAAGTAACCTTATTTTGACAAAAAAAAATTAAAAAATTATTGGATTTTTACTAGTACTTTATCACGAGTCATGGATTGACCCAAGTTTTTGATTAGGTTAGGTTAGATCAATCATTTCTTTGTATTTTTCTTAAACTTGAATCAATTTAGGCCTAAAATTGACCAGATCTAGTATATTAACTATGAAAAATAAAATGAAATAAATTATCTAGTCCATTCTAAAATATATCAAATATAAAACAAGATAGTTATTTGTTATTTTCATCTAATTTTACCCAAAAAAATACCTATTCTCTCTTTTTATCATACATTAGACTATTTACTACTTTTCAAAAATATTATTATTCCCTCTTTGTCATCTCGTATGTCATCAAATTACCAAAGTAGTCTCTCTTTCTATCGTACAATCCTAATAAATAACATTATAAAAAATTGTGAAAGTTTTATCTTAAAAAAAAAACATAAATGTCAAAATTCAAGATATCATGGAGTGTACTAGATAAATAATATTACATGATATATAAATAATTAATTTTCTATAATGATAACAAAATTTTATAATTCGTGTCATATTTAGTAAAGCTAATAATAATAATATATCCTAAATACATGGGAAATAAATAAAAATGAAACATAATTTAACATAATCCTAAAAATTTAGAGAATAGGTCATTATATAGCATTGTATTTGTATATGGTTTTCCAATTATAAGACTTTCTTGAAAAGATTTTTCAATTATAAGATTTTCTTGAAAAGAATTTAAATATTTAATGTCATGAAATTTAAAATCCAAAAAAAAAAAGTCAAAGAATGAGGCTAAATGAGTCACTTTAAAAAAATTAGAGTGCTATCTATGTATCATTATTACTAACAACTATAAAAGAATACAAAAATTACTCTTTTCATCTTGTAATTTAGTTATTTTTTTTACTATGCTTCTGTTTTTAAAAAAGCTACACTTTAGGTTAATTCAAATTTTTAAATTAAACAAAATAATGAAAGTACCATCATATCTATTATTTCTAGAATTAAACTAAATGATTTTTTTTTTTTACTTTGTCTCTCTTTTATGCACCAATTTCCCTGCTTTTCTAACCTTAATCAAACATTAATTAATCTAAACTCAAATCAAGTTATCAATCTAATGTTTTTAATGGATTTTTCTTATTTTTCTTGTCTGAAACAACCAAATACCTATATTTTTTTAAAATAAATGTTAAATACATTTATAGTGTTTATGAACTTCTCATAAAATGGAATTTTTTATGATGGAATGCTATAATCATCCTCGTGTCTTCTTTTGGTGGTGGATCTCAGTTGGCTACTACTATTAGTCTATGATGTATGATGATAATTGAAGAGATAAATTATGTCAAATGTAGTTACTTCTCACCCAGCAATGGTTAAGACACTAAACCAAGAAGACTAATCTTTACTTCCACCACCTTGTCAACAATAATTTTACCATATCGATATAAATAAAGACGATGACAATGTTAAGTAACTCAAACAAGATAAACCTAGCAAAGGTATTTCCATTCGCCACTTAAATAAACAACCATTTTTTTCTTTTTCTTTTTTTTTTGAATAAGAAAAATGAATCGATTATAAAACTATTATTGTTGTTGTCGTTATGCTTCTAGTACTATTAGTGTTTTTCATTATAGTCATAGTTCTTTGCTTATCTTCATTTACTGATGATGCTAATAATGAAATTTATTCACTATCAAATAGATCCATCGATACCACGAATGAACCCTTTTGAAATCTTAATCTAGACACCATTGCCTAAATGACCCTTTTACACCTTTTCCTTTTTTATTTCTTATAATTTTTAAAACTTCCTTTTTAATTCCAATAAAATTTGGAAATCTTGTCAAAAAGGTATGTTATAAGTTTTATTTTTTTTTGTTTGATTTTTCTTTGTTGCCTTTATACATATATTATATTGGTTAAAATGCTTAAGGGTCACTAGAAGATCTAGATGGACTGGTATAGAAAATTTTAAGGTAAGAGACTAGTTGTGGCAAGAAAATATATTAGTATCCCTAGCGTATTTTACCTAAAATAAGTTGTATTTTATAGCCTAAATGTGGCTTAAAGGTATTGATGGGTTGTTAACCAATGGTTCATCCATGGCTTAAGAGTGTATTTGTTTTTTAGATAACTTTTATGATTATAGTTTGAAAAAATAAGTTTAAAAAAAGTGTAGTTAGTTATGGTTAGTTTGATTTATATATATGTTTGGTAAAAATTATGATTGAAGTTTATGTGTACCAAAAAACATTTATAAAATGTTTGGTAGTTGTGTTTGAGTGTGATTGTGGTTGCTTTTCAAAGTGCTTTTTACTTAGAAATGCATTAAAATAGTTTTTTTATTTTTTTTTAAAACATTATTTTTGATATCCGGGCTTCAAAATAATCTAAAAACATAAAAAAACATTTAAAGCAAAGAAAAAATAAAAAAATTATTTTTTTCAAAAGCACTTTTGAAACACAAAAACAAACAGAGTTTTATGAAACTCAGTTAAAAAAACATGTAAAAACTGTTGCATAAAAACTATATTTTAAACTCAATTTTTTAATGGACCCTATGATATAAAACGCAGTTTGATTTGTTACCTTACCTTATTGTGTTTGTCTCACTGCAAACGCAAAAGCCAGTGGAAAACAAACACAACCTAAATAAAATTATTAAAAAAAGATATGAAAGACCGATAAATAATTTTAAATTGGTCATTTAAATGTTTTAGAATTTTTGAAATTTATTTAGGCTTTGTTTGGCAAAAGAACCATTTTTACTCAAAACAAAACTGTCAAAATAGGTCTAAAGGTGTTTTCGTCAAACAACTTTTTAGGCCAAAAATTCCTTACAAAAAAAGTAATCAACCAAATAAAGCTTTAGTACATAACATGTAATAGTCCTGTCAATTCGTTTCTATCAACGCTAAAAGATCCCAGCATGCACTCTTAATTTAAAGGTAATTTTTTTTATAAGAAATTCTATTGAAATTTCAGTAGAGTTTTCTTTGTACATAAAATGACCCAATTTATCGACTACTGTCAATTTACTCATTCAATCCTTCACAACAAGGCCCTATAATTCCAGACTTTAATTTCATCATCTATACTTGACAGCTCAAACAATCCATCCACACAAGATCAATATAAACATAGCTTACACACATATATACCCTACGAACAAGATTAATATAAACATAGGTTACATATTATATTATAAAGTCTGAAAGGAGAAAGGATACTAACATGTAATGAGAGAATTTAAAATATAACATAAGTATTCTAAAAAGTTTCAAAATGATTAATTATAGGATAACTAAGAAGTTCTGGGTCATATATTACATCAGATTTTACATAACTAACAGACTAAGATTTTTATATGTATCAAAGTTTACACAAAAGTATAATTCATAACCTAACTAATACTATTATACCTGAGCTAAAGTTTTACATAAGCCTAGCAAAGTAGAGTCCTAAAAACTAATGAGCTTCCTGGGTATTAGATGGACCTGTTACAAACACAACTTAATAAGCATATAATTATATTGATAACAAAAATAAAAATGATCATATAATGAATACAAATAAAGCATAAGTTTTGAATTAGTTTCCTATGAATTCTAACAATCAACCTATAAATTTATTAAGAATCATTTAAGACTCAATCAGACATCATTTACATATTTTTAATTGAATACTCTTATTTTTTTATATGAACTTTGTAACTTTATGTAATTAGGTTCACTAAGTCTTTAATGTTGTATGATCCAACCTGGAAACTTTTAGTCAATTGTACATATTAAATCCTCCTAAATCATCTAAACACATATACCCTTTACGGATTGATTCTTATTGATCATTCCCAAACATCCTAAAATGGACACCATTAGCCATAACTACTCTTATTGATCACTTCCGGCAATCCTAATGCAATTGTCATTAGCTGAAACTAATCTTATTAATCATTCCTGGTAGTCTCAACATGGATGCCATTAGCTGAGGCTAATCTTATAATTCATTTTCTAGCAAAATCCTCCATGGATGCCATCAACTGAAACTAATCTCATATTTACTTTCCAAGCAAATTCTATTATGAATACCATTAGCCAAAGCTAATCTCATAAATATACCAGTCTTGACTTACAATGAGCATATTTATAATTGCATTCCTCTCAAGAATTAAATTATGTAAGTGTAAAAAAAAGAAAAACTATGCACTTGCTCCACTTGTCTTGTGACCTCCTCTAGCAAAGGATCTAATCTTGGTCGCTCCTCTTGAATCACAAGAAAATCTTTGGTCATGTTTCCTTCAAGGCAAATGTTATAGCAACTCCATATCATTTTCCATCCATGTTAATTTTCTCATCATAACATATAAAAACATATCAAGTATAATTTCAAGGTTAGGTATATTGACATGCAGGTGTCCACACGACTCGGTTTCTGTCAATGAAAATTAGTGTCCTATGACTCAAAACTGAAGTCTCATAACTCAAAATGAAGAAAAATTTATGGACAAAAGTTTTAATTCTAATAACCAAACTATCATGTTATGAACAACTTGACCTCTTAATGGTATTTTTCCCATATTTAGAGTTTCATAACTTTAATTGAGGCAAGACTAGTGCCAAATGTTAGCTAACTTATCCCTCTACAACTTTCATATAAAAAGTTATAACAATTTCATAGAATTCTAATCTTCAAAACTGTCTAGTTTTATGTCCATATATATAAATACCAATTTAATATCTCATATTAGGACTTTCCTTCTTATAAATTTTATTACGAGCTAGAATTTAACCATTATCTTTATGGCACAATGCTTCACACAATCTTAAGAGTCAATATAATTATTTTAAATACAAAACAAAAAAAATTGAAAAAGATGCTCAGATAATTCTACATACTATACTAATTCATATTATGAAGTACAAGACATTCACAAATAACATAAAATAAGATTGAAAGATTCATCTCTAGTCTGAAAATGTTCATTTCTCATCTCAACCTTTTAATTTCATCAATTGGTCTTTCAAAATTATAAGATTTTTAGCAACCTTAGATTATTTATTTTGGGGTATTCTCCCTTTGGATTCAAATTGAATCAAAATAACAATAGACAAGTAAGTGTTTATCCTTACTGCTTAACTACTTTTTATGATCGGCTTGTTTTAACTCGCAAGTGCACGATTGTGCGATGTAGCAATTAACTTGGTAAGATCGAGGTCATATCCACAGAGAGCTAGATCTAGAAAATAAGCTAGGTAAAAAAAAAACTCAAGAGAAATTAAATTAATAATAGCTTGGTTGAAAATAATTGATGGATTTGTTTTCAAAGATGAAGACGTGTAAATAGATTTTAAATGATAAGAAAAAGTAAGTCTTGGTCCAAATCAATTTTAAT